AAGTCACTTGACATGCGTGAGCAGCTGTAATGTGTTAGCTTAAACGTTTTGCTGAAATGAGGCGGCGACGCCCCCCCCCCAACCTACATTGCGTGAGGTCGTGACAATACGACCCCCTTCGGCGCTAAGCAATATACTGGATCATTGTGATGGCAATGCATTTGAAACAGCGTGAAACATGTCCTTTTGTTAAAATGGACTAAGCCTCAGGCGGGGGAGAAGAGACTCCAAAGTGCATGAGCCGTTTCATTTTCCCGGAGCTCCTGCCTCCTCCTAGGCTTGGTTTCAAAGCATGCCCCCATATAATGCGATAGCGAATGCGGTCTTGGTACGGACCCCACAATAACTCTAACGGTACGGCCCAGCCTTGAGGACTTTAACGTAATGTTCGCGCAATTTCTGTGACTGCGGTTCACACAGTGGATTGCACGGCAACGACTTAAATTGGAAAGTGGCAGCAGGTTTTGTGGTTATTTGAAGGTCCTGTGAATGTCGCCATTCATTAAACTGGGTACTGCTTAGGTTGTCACGGCGAATACAGAAAAAAGAAATTATCCTCAGTATGTCCTGGAAGGAGGAGTTCTCGGAACTTTTAGGTGCGTTGTGTTTCGTTCTTGCACTATCTCTTTGAAGATATATGCTCACAATTCACGTTTCTGTTCATTAGAGCAACAGAAGAATGACATTGATGAAGTCTGAGTAGTTTTTTAATCATTCATTTACCGAAATTTTGTCCAGAAACTCGCCTAGGAAGTGTTCCTTTGTGAAGCTGCAAGTATTGCACATTAAAAAATTTGCGCTCATGGACTGTCAAAACACAGAAAATCTCTAAAAATTCACTCTAGTTCGGGTTGTGCGCAAAGGGACTCCTCGAAATATGGATCAAGTTAAGCTTAAGTACTTTGAGATCCACTGATATTTTTCTTACTCTCATACGAAGAAGTACAAGCCAACCTCTGTCGACTCATGAAAGTCAACTGTTTGACAGTCGCCCTCACAGTTTCCGACGGCAATTGCCCTGGCTCTTGTCTGCTATTGCGAAGAACACATCTCATGATCAGAGATTAACGGAGGCTTTAGTTGCCTTCAAGAAATTTCTAATTCTTTTCTTTAGCTCTTATTGTATTTTTTTCGCAGACCGTATCTCTTGAGTTCTCATTGTATGTAAGCTCATTCCAGATTTTCTTGACGAATGCACAAGCAAATATCCAAATCGTTTATTCAATGTGACTCCTGAGAATGACTCCACTCCTGTTCGACGAGTTGCCTTTTCTTTGGAAAATATAGTAAGACTTTCTGTGCACTATATGTAAGAATATGTTTCATCCGTTATACTATTACATTCATTGATTTAAGATTGATCAATTGCGAAAACCACTCGTACCTTCCACCCAGTCTCTGGCGCAAGCGTTAGTTTATAAGTTCAATGGGCCCCATCGTCGCCAGGGATACTGGATGATTTATAAGAACCTCGTGCGAGCTTTACGAAAATATAACGAAGACGATCTTCTGACTAAGGTTTCAGATTTACATAAGGTAAATTCAAACTACGAGAGTATTTTTTGACAAATCAAAAAGTCAAGCTTTCAGAAAGCAACTGCAAGTGGTGCAGGCTTCTATATGCCATCTGTGGAGGTTATGCGATATATAGGTGGTGCCTACTTGAAAAGGCTATTCAGGCTACAGCAGGTTAGTCGCCTGCACCTCTTTTTTGAATGGTTTCTCTCAAAAGATGCATTCTAATCGTTTTTAGATTCGAGATTCATGCATTCGTACTGCCCACGTTATAATGGGACAGTTGGAATTGGGGCACTGGGTGAGTATCTTTGATGACGACCACTTTACTAGCGTGAAGATGTCTTAGTTGTTTTAGTATTGTGCCTTTTACTTGAATTCTGCTATGTGAAATGTTATGCCGCAAAGCCTTTGTTAAGGAAAAATTCAGCTTGTTCATTGTTGCGTTGTGCGCTGACGTCAGCAATGGGATCAGGATGCAGGCAGCATCGATGGAATCCGCTTATGATGGCTTGTCGAAGTCTATTCGTCCGCTAGATAACAGGTTTCTATTATAATTTGTACCCAGTGTTTTGAAAGGCTTGGCAAATTAGCGAAAAAGAATAGATACAAATTGATTGGTTTGATACCGAGCTTACTAGGTTTTCCACAAAATCGTACATTCGTGGTATGCGCGGGAAAGACTACTTGTAATATGTATTGGTTGATCCTCCAGCTCCCTTGAGTGCTGAATCAAGCTAATCGAAGTTTCGCATCCTTATGGGTACATGGCACATTCCACAACTCTTTGAAGGATTTCCGGAAACATTGGCTGGATTGTCCATTTTTTCTTCGCTTCGTGGTCGTATCTCGGCGCAAAAGAATACGGACATGTCTCGCGTGATGCGATTATTGCAATTCTCAGACGAACAGTTGGATGCGGTACGGACAAGGGATCAGATGGCGCAATTTAGGTGAGTACTCTGTGATCTGGATGAGCCAGCTTCAGAACTCCTTCATAGGCGATCGACTCTGGCCCCCAATTTACTAGGTCAAACTGGCAGTGCATTATCGGAAAGGAACATGCATATTTGGCTCAGTTAGGATGCAGAGGTGATTGAAAGGGCTTATAATTTTTCCGGTTTTTTTTTCTGAAATCTCGAGAAACTTGTGAAATTTTGCCCATCTTTTAATGTATTCCCCACCGTTCGATGACGAGCTTTGTATGAATTCAGATGATTCTGGGTTCTCATCAGCAAAAACGGTGTTAATTCGTATAAACTGGAGAATACGTGTGAATCGATGGGATCCTAGCGGGGTAGGATGGGATCAGGAGGAGAGGGAGGGGAATTCGAATTTTCCGAAGATATGGCTCGTCCTGCTTGTTATCCTTCATTGAGCTTTTTATTCACATCAAATGACGCTTTTCAGGGAAGAGATATTGTCAAATGCAGGGTCCAAGAACGAGGACTTAGGTGAAGCCATTGATAGGACTGAACAGATTCGAGTGTGAGTTCGTAAGTTACCATTACGGAGACGGAAGCGTTGAGCATACTATTTTTCCTATTCACTTTCGCAGAATGGTTGTTTGAGCTTTTTTATAAACAAATTTCTTCTTTATGAAAGGAATTAGTTTCAGATTGCAAACGCCCACTTTCGACACGACAAGAAAGGTTCGACGTTTCTAGCTTTCTTTTTCACAGGGTGTCGTACCTGACATTGCTTTCAGCCTTCCTCGGCCGATTCTGGTCTGGAGCTTGGATCCGAAATCTCTATGTTGGATAGTACCACCGACTGTAAAGAGCAGGTTGGAACCGTATCCCTTGATATTATGTTATACTCTGCAATTTTAGTGGGAGCGGTTTATCGATCTGTAGCGTTTGGATGTACCTTTTAGTTTGGATGCACCTTTAGACCTTTCTTAATATCATTCTGGAAATTTCAGGTTAGTGAAGAAGAAAATTCGGATGAAAGAAGGCCAAAATTGGCGAAGAAGCGTAGGAGAAAACGTAAGAACGAGGTAGGGATTGATTTTATGTAATTTTCATTCGTTGCGCCTTTTTAACTTCGATTGCAATGGACAGCTCGTTATTGTTCCGCCTATTTGTCCTGTTTTTAAAAACTCTTAAAGATTCAGCTTTTGAACTAGGCTAGTCGACGTTCTGGACATTTCAAATCTTATATTTGGGTGTGATCTTCAAAGGTTTTGAACTATTGGGTTTCGTAGCGGAATAACGGCTATTTCGACAACCTTTGGAGATTTTTTCCTCTACGCTCTTAACAGCTGAGATGCAAAGACCAGAGGTGTGAGTTTCCCGAAAAATGACTATATATTCTTCTGGAAATCAGGGGCGGTATTCAATCCTTCCCCCAGGGGGATATATCCCCCTACTCTGATTCAATCCTCTGGGGGGACAAAAAAGGGTTGCGTCATAGGACCTCGCATACCTCTGTGTTTCTACCTGCCAGACAGTTAGAGCAGCGCGACCCCTCAGGGGAAAGAGTGCTTCATCAGTGGAGGGTAGTAGCGCTGCTCTAACTGGGCAGGTAGAAACACAGAGGTATGCGACGGCTAGATCGCAACCTTTTTTGTCCACGAGGATTGATCAGATTAAGGTGATTATCCCTGGCGGAGGATTGGAACCGCCCCTGGAATCTCTCTCTCTTTGCTCGCGGCTTTCTGTTTATCTCGGTGTAACTCTTCATTGGGTCGGGGTGCCGCTTCGTTCCTGCTCTCTATTGTTCGTCTTGGCTCGTTCTCCGCCTGTCATCTTTCTTGTCTCAAAGCCTACTCAGTCTTTTTTCAATACTCCACTCTTATTTTGATTCTTTTGTTTTTAGCTTTCCAGCCTTCGGCTTGTGTTTAGACGACCTACAATCAATCAAGAACAATCAACTCCATCTTGTCTATAACTGGATGTTTTTGAGCACTTGTTTTGTGCTAAACTTCTAATAGTTGTTGTAAAGCAATTGGGGTGCCTCGTAAGGCAGCGGTTATGCTCTGCGAAAAACGCAATGGGGGCAGAGAAACTAAGTCTGCGGCAATCGCTATCTCGTTTCCCTGTCGCGATAGCGGTTGCCGCAACATTGAGTACTGCTATACTTTGTTACCGTCTTACAGTTTGGGTGTGGAGTGGATACGTATCGGTCTTGCGATTGTGCGGTCATGATTGATACGTATCCACTCTACGCTGCACCCCAACCATAAGAGGATCAGTGATAGAAAAAAGGTCATACTGAGCTTGAGGTATTTGCTGAACTGCAGGTTGTTCTATTCTGGCTTTTTTCATAACATTGTATTATAGATTAATTGTGATGACATTTCATTGTTGTCACCCACCTCATTTACGTCACCTTCG